TCCAGCCAGTCAGAGCTTGGTTATTATTTCAAAAGTTCTTCCGTAAGTATAGGCATAGCAGTTTGGCTGCTTGAATAATCAGCCCACAGGTCACATATATAGACATTATGCTTCTAGCAATGTGAAAAGTACTATTCTCACTGCAAGAAAACTTAGTTTAAAAAGAAAAGCTTACAACACAAAATACTGTCAAGTTGGTGCAGAAACAGGAAGTCTCATTCACTGGTGGTGGTAACTGGTGGTGGTAACGCAAAATGGGACAGACATTTTGATACAAAGAGTTTGGCAGTTTATTAATGAAACTAAACACACCCTTAACATTACCCCAATGGAGTTACAAACATATGTCCACACAAAAAATAGGCACGTGGATGTTTATAGCAAGTTTATTCATGGTCACAAAAAATGGAAAGTAATAAGATGTCCTTCAACAGGTGATGGCACAAACAAACCATGGACATCCACACAATGGAATATTATTCAGCTCTAAAAAAGAATGAGCAATCAATGCATGAAAAGATATGTAGGAAAGTTAGATGCATATTTCTAAGTGAAAGAAGTCAATCTGAAAAGACTACATAATACGGGACTCCAACTACAAGATATTCTAGAAAATTGCAAAATGATGGACACAGTAAGAAGAGTAGTGCTGTCAGGGCTTTGGGGAGAGAGAAAGATGAATCGGTGGAGCACAGAGGAATTTTAGGGCAATGAAACTATTCTGTATGATACTGCAATGGTGGACACACATCCTCATACAGTTTTTAAAACGCATAAAACATACAACACCATAAGTGAACCCTAATGGAAACTATGAACTCTGGGCAATAATGATATCGTCAATGTTGGTTCATTACTTGTAGCAAATGTGTTACTCTGGCAGAAGATCCTAAGGAAGGGAATCTGGCGGGGGGGGGGTTGGGTTATATGGGAATTCTCTATACTTTCTACTCAAGTTTTTGTGAACCTAGAACTGCCCTAAGAAAATATTAAAAGAAAAAGAAAGGAAAAAAAAAGAAGAAGAAAGAAGAGCTCTGTCCAAGAGTAATCCAAATCAGGACTACAGGCGGATGTGACTCTTACCTGAAATACATAGACTCAGTCCAACCCCAGCAAGTACATAGACCAGCACTTGAATAATCAGTAGGGCAATGACGAAGGAGGTAATCCCAAAAGCTGGAGGAAGGAAAAGAATTTAAGAGTATTTAAGAAGCAATCACTCCTATCTGCATTTGATGCAATCGGGAAGACCCTAGAACCAAAGACTGACTTTGGAGTTCCTTGTCAGATGGCAGATGCTTTTCCAGTGACCCACTCCTTCCACACTAGTCAGCTCCAAGTTCACACATTCAGTAGCTTTCTATTTTCATGGTCAGTGAAGCTGGACTGGCAGTTTTTACCCCGATTCTTAGAACAATGCTCCTTTCACCACCCTTGTGCATTTTACAGTTGGGATAGCTATTATGCTTGGCTTCTCCACATGCACACAGAATTACTCTGGTGGAGAGAACCCTTATACAAACATGTGATCGTAAATATCGGATTCTATCTTGTACATCTGGAAAGCTATAATTTTATAACAAATCAATACCTTTCTGATGTACACCGAGTCAGTGACAGACTCTAAGACCAAGTGTTAGATGGTGACTCTAATAATAACAAAAACATGTCAGTGATTTATTTTCAAACTACAGTGGAAATAACACTAATTATACTTTGGATATCTATGTCATCCTTTAAAACTACAGTATCAAGGTTTGTTAATAACTAAAAAAAGTGTTTCTACTATTCGTGATTTATAATCCCATTTTATATTAATAGAAGTAGTCTTTTTAACAGACAGCCTTAACAATAGAGAAAGACGGTGTTTAATATCTACTTATAAATTTAAAAAATTGAAATTAGAATATTAAGATAATTATTGAGATATTAATACTATTAAAAATTATGCTGACTGGTATCCAGTACATATGATAATTACTTTTTTCAAAATAATCAAATGCCTTAAAGACTTAGGATAACCTTAAAAGTAGTCTGAATGGAGAAATGCTCATGAAGAATAGCATGGAAAGTCTTTTAATAAATCATATTTATTTTAGTTGTAAAAAGAAAACGACATAAGAATACTTTCACCAATGGTGACTTTTTAAAATGAAAATTGTAGGCAAAATCATGCAGTAACAACAAATGCTCACCTGTTTTAAACACGTAGTAGTTAAGTATTATTAATAATCCTGTAGAAGTTACAATTAAGCCAAGTCCAGTAGCATTCTTTACTGAATATTCACCTGTTAATAAATAAACATATTTTAAAATATTTTCCCACATACTTTCTACTCTTCAGGAAAACTAACATAATTTATTAAATGTATTAATCTCAATACTACTCTTATAAACTTTGAAAAGTTTAAAAATGTATGTTTCCTTCAAAGCTTCAGACAGAATAAGTGACAATTTTTTGATTATTTAAGACCAAAACTTAAGACATCCAAGCCTCAACATGTTCAAACTTTAGATAGGCTCTACCTCTTTCTTAACTATCTTACAGAATGCTAGATGAGAAACCGTGTACTCATTCCCTTAATTTGCTGTGTTCAGTATAGCCCTAAATCAAATTAATTGTTCTTTCAAATTGTCCTCTGAATGCACTTCCTTCCTCCCCACACCCCCAATAGTCCCAGAGGCAGGTGAGCTGCCCAATTTACATCTCTACACAGTATACCTGAACTGCATTCTCCTCTAGAAACAAGGACGGCTGGGTGTTACAGTCTACCTCTGAATCCTGGCCTCTATTTGCTTTGCTTTTCTTGTGCCGCACACCCTTATTTCCCACCTCCACAAACCTCCCCCAAATGCAACTGCCAGTTCAGACAGACCTAGTTCTATTCCATGTCCTGGGCCACTGAAGTTTTCTTCTGTCGTAGGTGGTAAAGCCCTAGAAATTAGTGATTTCTAATCCCTAGAATCTGAGAATATTACCTTAATGTCAAAAAAATTACATTATATGGCAAAAGATATGACTGAGTTAAGGACCCTGAAAGGAGGAGCTTATTCTGGATTATATAGGTGAGTCCTAATTCCAATGACAAAGCTCTTTTTAAGAAAGAGGCAGAGGGAGATCAAACCGGAAAAAAAAGAAAAGAAAAGAAAAAGACTGTGCTTCTTCAACAAATACAGAATCTAGAAGAGGCACGGGATGAATTCTCCCCCAAAGCCTAGTGAGGGAACATGGCCCAGCTAACACCCTGATTTCAGACTTATGAGCTCAGAGCAGCAAGCCACCCAGTTTGTGGTAATTTGTTCCAACAGCCCTAGGAAATGAATACACTCCCTCCTGGAAGAACCTCACCTACATCCTACTTTTCCTCCTAGTAACTGTACTTCTTACCTGGGACGAAAAGAATGGCTCCAACAATGATGATTATGGTGACCAACAGTCCAGCAACAAGTAAACCAATGGTTTTCTCATCCATGCGACCGGATCTATACTGAAGTGCTTTAAAAAACAACAACAAAGAATTATGATCTCAAGCATGAGTGAGTCCACCTTGGTAATTCATAAGGTATGGAGACACAGTTGCAAACTTCATTCCATCAAGTCACCTATATTTTTCATAAGCAAATAGTCCATGTCATGGTAGTATAAACATGGTCACTGAATTTACAGGTAATGCCTTACTGCCTTACATTTTAAGGAATAAAGTTCTATAAAATGGGCTTTCTCAAGTGAGGAATTATTAACATTTTGAGCCAGACAGTTCTTTGTATATGGGGGCTCCTCTGCGCGTTCCAGAATGTTTCGTGGTTCCCCTGGCCACTACATGCCAGATCCAGTAGCAGCCCCCAGTTATGTCAATCAAACTCCAGTCAATCAAACTGTTTCCAGGCAGTGCCAACATCCCCTGATGAGCAAAATCACCCCAGAATGACAACACATCACTGGTGGGCATCATGTGGATGGGAAATAACTGGTTAATTAACAATAGGGAAAAAAGAGAACTCTGCTCCACCGTCTATAAAATTAGTTAACCCATCTAAAAATCTGGACATTTTGTTTTGAGAAAGAGAACAGAATTAACATTGGACAAATCACACTTTTGTGAAATCCTAAGGAAGAAAACGAACTTAAATGTTAAATAAAATATTTTAATACAAATAAATTACAAGGACTCAACAGAATTCATCATATATGTTATTGCTTCTAATTCTAGCTCTACTGTCAAGTGCCAAGTACCTTTCCTGAAAGAGTAATGTAAAGGATGAGTCTTAAAGTATTATTTCTTTTGCTACATATTGACTTTTTTGGTTGGTTAGTATTAATTTTTCATCAAGAAAGTTTTTTTTTTTTGTTTGTTTGTTTTTTTTCTTGAGACAGAGTCTCACTTTGTTGCCCTGAGTAGAGTGCTGTAGCATCACAGCTCACAGCAACCTCCAGCTCCTGGGCTTAGGCAATTCTCTTATCTCAACCTCCCAAGCAGCTGGGACTACAGGCGCCCACCACAACACCTGGCTATTTTTTATTGCATTTTGGCCGGGACTGGGTTCAAACCTGCCACCCTCAGTATATGGGGTCAGTGCCCTACCCACTGAGCACAGGCACCGCCCATCAAGAAAGTTATTAAAGGTAATCTAAAAGCAAACTAAATAGCAGAGAGAAACAGAGGTTGTGACTGAAATTCTGCTGTCATCCACACATGGATATTCTCCATGTCAGTAATCAATAGGTGGGTAACTGCTATGAGCAGGAAATATGTTAACTGTTATAGTTAGCATTTAATTTACCTCTTAAATACAGTAAAAACAATGAGTAAATCTCTAAATGAGCATGATAAAAATCTATGTTTAAGGTATACTCTAGGCACCTGAAGACTTTTTGAATCCCTACCTACCCATATTGTAGATTATGACCTTGATTTTATTCTCTTTAGAAGGAGAGGGGAGGCCTAAGCAATAAATAACAAATCCTGAAGCTGAATAACTGAAATTCACATTAATTAGAAAAGAGAAATCTACATTAATCAGGAAACATCCCCAAGATTTTATTTGATCTGTTACCTCCATCTAGTCCTAGAGCTTACGTGGCTCCTACTCAGTCATATCTCTGCCTTCTTATCAGGCACAGAGTTTTCACAGCTTTTTCATTTTCTAGGCCAATGGTTCTCAACCTTTGAAATGCCACAGCCCTTTTATACAGTTCCTGTGGGTCACGACCCACAAGTTGAGAACAGCTGTCTAGGCTCAAATAGTACGCAGAATGAAATTGAATGTTATGGGTCACAAAAGGCACAGACACAGAAAAAGAAACTCTTGACACATGTCACATTTTCCATTTTAATCCTATGTATATTGTTATCTAAATAGACATTGAAGGTTCTGTGAGGGGTTGTAAAATTGAAGTTCTGTCAAGTGTACCTCACAATCCATCAAACATTCATAAGAGACTCTTTCGAGTTTAATTCACCACATGAAAGAGCTACTAAGATCAAGCAACAAGAATTTGCCTTACAGTACAGTGTAATTGCATGCAAAGGGTGTCGGATGTTATTCTTAAAAAAAATTAAGGATTTTGAATTTCATATAAAATTCTTCCTTTTCAGGCTTAGAAGAAGTGCTATAGGAGAAAATTATGCCAACAACAGCAACAAAAATAAAATACCAAAAACACTACTGTAGACAGTGTTCATTCTACCATAGAATGGCTTTTTCCTTGGAGTATAACTACACCATATATTGGAGATAGTTTTAGTTCCTATTGATTGGATCAACTACTACTTATTTTCGAAGCCACCTTAAGTCTGTCCTTAAGCTAAGCAGCCATTTTCAATAAATATATAAGCTGAGCATCCGAAATCCAAAATACTTCTGGTCCTAAATATTTCAGATAAGATACTCAACCTGTATTAGCAGGGTCAACTTAAGTAATCACAGCCAGTGAAAAAGTAACTTTCTGGGTTTTTTTTGGCTGGGGCTGGGTTTGAACCCATCACCTCCGGCATATGGGGCCGGTGCTCTTACTCCTTTGAGCCACAGGCGCCACCTTCTTCTTGTTTTTTTTTTTAGTGAACCTTCTTGAGTTTCTTCAGGCTCATTTTCTTTGTTCACACTGGCCACATTTCAGTAGGACCCCAGCAAGTATGGGGTAGGGAACCTGTTGCTAGACCAGTTGCCAATCTTCTCCGAGTTGTTAATAGGCAAGGAATCTGATATGAACACCACAGAATCCAATAATCTCAAGGACCTTTCATTGGTGATCTTTTACTATACTTTAATAAATGGATTTGTCCTTATTTATCAAATTTATCAAAACATTAAATGCAACAAAGAAAATAAATTCAAGTAATTCCCCAAACACTTAGCATTAAGATGCAAATAATTTAATGTGTTTTTAACAGCAGGTTCTTATCAAACTTCCTGGTATGATTTTCTGCCTGCTTGGCAAGACAATCTATGTAATTGTCTGTATGCCTAAAAATCTGTATGCTTTTAGAGATTTCCCTCAGGTAAAACTACTGACATTAACACACAAAATAAAACATATGAAGAAAAATAATTATGTATATTTTAAACAAAAATCTTATAACCTGGTGATGCCTGACACAGGAATATCAAATTATCATGTGAGACAGTATAACATTTTTGTGAACAAATTAGGAATTCTAAAATTTTCCTTTTCATATCTTTCATCAAATAATTAGACCTTGCAGGCAACTTCTCAGAAATGTGTTGATTTGTTCTATGAACATTTACCATGTACCCTACTATCTTACCAGGCCCTTTTATTAGTCCTAAAGCCTGGAACAAGTAAAAGATTATTCAACATTGCTCAATACTTGGTTGAGCATTATTAATCTATGTGATAATCACTATTCTAAGTGTTACAGTGAACACAAAAGGCAAACACAGGGCCTGCCTCAAGGCCCTTACATCCTAAGGGGTGAGAGCCTGTCCTTGGGAGGGGGGGGGACAGTTATTACCTGTAGCTCTTCTTCCCCAGTTAAAAAGGTGAGTCTATTCTAGACTAAGAAGCCTCCTTCATGTGTTTAATCTTGCAAAGATACGTGAGTAAAGCATCTCTCTCTAGCCACCTGAAGAAACAGCTAAAGTTATAAATAGAAAATAAGGTTCTCTGGTCTCTTTGTGACTGACAGAAAGCACATATAGGATAAAATGTAGGTTATGGTTGATGATATCTAGTGAAATCACTAATCAACATGTTAAGTCTTTAAGATACTCCCAAACGGGATGTGCCAAGCCCTCCAGGCCCATATAGACTGCAGTCCATGTACAATAAAACCCCCAAATCCAAGATTTCAATACCTGCTCAAAAACATGACATTTTGAGGATCCCTTACCAAGTAATCAGTAAGTGCTGAGAGAGACAGGAAGGCTTTCCAGTACAATGCATATTAGATTAAGACCGAATCAATCATCAAGGGAGATGTGTTTGGATTTCATTATTATAGTGCCATTTTCTGATAACTCTGGGGAAGTAACTTTAGAATCATTTGCTATCTGCTGAACTGAAAATCAATATTGTTTTGATGCAGAATAAAGCACATCTGACAACTTTTTACATAAAACTAATCTTAATTTTTAAAATTATTTAAATTGCTATTTTTCAAATATTTACCATATCCATTTAAAACACATACATAAGGCTTTGAGAAAGTGGTGATAGAAAAAAATGAACATTAATGCAAATTATGTACTGGATATTTACCAGAAGGCGAGTAAAATAATTTTATAATAAACTCCATATACTATCCAACTTTCTCTGATTACACAACTCTGAACAACAAATACTGAGGAGACATCATGTTCCCAGTCTACAGGACCCAGAAATAAAAGAGCCCAGCCTTTGTGTTACAGAAGAGGACATTTAACTGCCTTCTCTTATTCCAGACTTTTCCTGGTCTCATGGATGGTTTTACAATTTCAGAGTTTATGGAGCAAGTTGAGATGTCTGGATTTAGAAAGGGTCAAGGGATTAGTAACTACATTTCTATAAAAGAGTAAAATGTTTTGTTCAGTTCTGCCTACAGTAAGCACATGGTCACATTATTTAATAATAGAATGTGATTATGTGGACAGGACCAAAAGGAAGGAAGCACTTGGAGTTCAAGATGATTTAATAGAATACACAGTAAACTTAATAACAAGGTCCTAATATTAGGGTCTATCAACCAGCTCAAAGAATGATTCTTGGTTAAGAATATTCATTGTAATGTTATCTTACTTGCTTGGATACAAACTTCCTAGTCCAAGTTAGGGTATGTCTTCATTTCTTCAGAATGATTTTTCTAATACGAAGAAACTCTGTCTCTTTAATTCTTCTAAATGTGCTTTTATGGCCTAATTAAAATTCATTATTAAGCTGATCCTCAAGTCCAGATTCAGGGACTGAACAAGATCTCAAGGCTGTCACGATGGAGAATTTTTTCCTTGAATTTCCTAACAATGACATCTACAGGAACATCTACCCAAATATCTCTGACC